AATTGGGACATAAGGACCAGGGCATAGGGTTTCTTTCTGGGCTAATGAAGATATTCAAAAGTTAATAGTGGTAATGACGCCCAACTTGGCTAATATAGCAAAGCCACTGGATTACTCTAAATGGAGAGGCTGTTTGTGGTATGCAAGTTATTTTTCAGTCAAGTTATTAAAATATGTAAATGGTCTACATATACCAGCTAAAAAGCAGACCTGGGGGCTGGAGAAATGGCTCAATGGTTGAGAGAAGCTACTGGGTTCAATGGCTAATAGAGGACCTGGGTTCAATTCCCAGCGACCACATAGAAACTAACAACAGTCTATAACTCCAGTCAGGGGATCCAACACCTTCTTCTGGCTTCTGTGCACAACTTCTGGGCACAACACACAGGTGGTCCACAGACATATATGTAGACAAAACAACCACACACAAAAAATAAAATATATCTTTTTTTAAAGGTAGACATGTCAAACTAAAACAAACAAAAAACTCTCAAAACTTCAAGACTCAATTATAAGATGTTTATGGATATTAAATTCAAATGTAAATATGAAGGGCTAAAAGCTAAAAATCAGAGAAAGACAGGACCTTACAAAAATTACCCTAAGGATAGCAGTTCAGGTAATGGCAGCACACAACTGCAACCCACGCGCTAGAGAGGCTGATGTAGGAGGTCACCATGGAAAACACAGAGAATTCGAGACTGGCCTGGGCTGTAAAACAAGGGCTTATCTGTGTGTGTGGTGGGGGCAGGGGCTAGGAAGGTTATGCTGATAACAGACAAGTTAGCTTTGAAGTAACAGGGATATTTCACAATGATGAAAGAACCTACTTAGGAATAAAATCTAACAATCCTAAATGTGTAAATACCTTAAAGTTGAACTTGAAAACAAAGCCAGACCCAACACTACTGATGGGTAACAACAAAACAAAACACATATTAGATTTCAATATTCTCTAGTTTGCTGACAGAAGAGAAACCAGAGTTAGAAAACAGGATTGTTCAGTCTCTACACTATTGACATTTTGGGGCCAGGCTTATTTTAAAATAATATTTTCTCTTTAATTGGTCAGATAATCTTGGGCCGCAGAGGCAGTCTGGTGCATTGTGGATGTTCAGTGGCCACTCTGGTCTCTACTTGAATTCATTCCCTAGGGATGCTACAAGAAGTGCTCAAAACCAGATGCTTTTACAACAATCTCAAAATGCTTCAGTAAGTGAAGCTGCATGCCACACAAGCCTGGTGACTTCAGCATGACCCACGGAACTGTATGTTTTAGTTTCTGTTCTGCTGCTGTGAAGAGACACCAGGACCAAGGCAATTCTAATAAAATAAAACATTTAATTAGGGCTTGCTGGCAGGTGTAGAGGTTATTAGTCCATGCCCATCACGGCAGGAAGCAGACAGGAATGGCCCTGGAGCAGAGAGCTTTATAGCCTCATCCAGGGGCAGCAGGGAGAGAGAGGGGGAGAGGGAGAGGTAGAGAGAGAGAGAGAGAGAGAGAGAGAGAGAGAGAGAGAGAGAGAGAGAGAGAGGCCAAACTGCCCCACTGCTGGAGATTCACCCCTGTTGGAGATGTGGGTAACACCACTAATGCCTTGGTCTATAAGCTAGTTGTGGAACATTGCCCTCATGTGGGCCCCTTCTACCCTGTACCAGGGTTGGTCCAAATGATCAGTGAACTGTGGAAAGTGATGGCATGCCCCTTCCAAGACTGGACATTTTACAGTTCTATTCTTCCTTCCCTCTGTCCGTCCCTCTGCCCTCTTACTCTAAGGGAAGCAGCAGGCCAGCTTCATGCTATGAGCAGTGCTAGAGAGACCCATGCAGTAAGGAACTGAGGCTATCTGCCCACCGCAGATCCCAAGTTTGAGTCCCAGTAACCACCTGGTGACTGACAACCATTTATAATGGAACCTGGGGGAAGAGCATCGCCTGCTCTTCCAAAGGTCCTGAGTTCAATTCCCGGCAACCACATGGTAGCTCACAACCATCTGTAATTAGGTCTGGTGCCCTCTTCTGGCCTGCAGGCAGAACACTGTATGCTTAATAAATAAATAAAAAATAAATCTAAAAAAGGAAGGAAGAAAAGAAACTAGGCAGGCATGATGGCACACGCCTTTAATCCCAGCACTTGGGAGGCAGAGGCAGGTGGTGGATCCTTTAAGTTTGAGGCCAGCCTGGTCTACAGAGTAAGTTCTGGGACAGCCAGGACTACATAGAGAAACCCTATCTTGAAAAACCAAAAGAAAAGAAAAAGAAACTAGTAGAGCCAGGGAGTTGGTACATAGCTGTAATTATAACTAACTCCCGAGAGTTCAAAAGACAAAGACAATAAGAAGCAGAGAATATCAATACAGCCCAAAATGATAAATCTCCTAGATGGGGTGGCGCACACTCCTGATTCCCAGCTATTGAGAGGCTGAGGCAAGATTATGAGTTCAGGACCAGTTTGGGTTGTCCGCAAGATCCTTTCTGAAGAAGAAAGGGTCAGGAAAGATGACTCAGCCAGCAAAGATCTTTAGAAACTTCCAAGCATCACGTCTGTCAAAGGACTACTGTGCTTTGTTAAGTATCTTTTGATTGTTTAGACAACATAATTAGCTTATATTTACCCATTAAAGAACCTTTGCGTGTTCCCAGTAAGGGAATAATGTTGTTATTTACAATTATGTATAAGTTCTTATGTACGCGCAAGTTTTGTCTTGAGTACATTCCCAGGGATTAATGGATCACATGGCAAGTGGATATTTATAAGAAATTATCCAATTCCTTTTCCAAAATGGCTATCCCATTCTGTTCTGTCAAATATAAGCAAAGGCAGCCGAGCTCTGTCGCTCTGTATCCTCACCAACTTTAGTGTCAACGACAATACACACGTTTCCGACCAAACACACAGTACACAACATTTTCAACTGGGCGTTTAAACCTCTCAAGTGCTGGGATTACGGGTGAGTCATCACGCCGGGCTGTGGGAGGACAGTCAGGAACTGAGGACCCAATTCATCACAAAATTAGGATTCGTTCACAGAAACAGTCTAAGCTCCTTCTACCATCCGGGTCCTTTGAACCCAGAGGCATTCAGGCTCATTCTCCCACCGTCAGCCTGGCTGCTGAGACAGAATACCTTAAACACATTACGTTTTTACTTGTCTCGATCTGCTTACTGCTAAAGTATGCGCTAATTCCAGACCCCGACCTGAGCCGCAGAATAAAAATCCGGAAGCGATAAACTGGCTGGCAAACTAGCAAACTGCCAGTTTCTTCCCAACTCTATGGTTGGAGTGTGACCTTTCTACACTCTGGCGGACTCAGAAAGCGTGACCAATGAGTCGATCGCTCTTGCGAACGTGACACGAGAACGGGCTTCCCTGGCTTCCTATTGGTCTGTATCGAAAAAGCCCGCCTAACAGCTTCCGGAAGCCGTCTTTAAGTTAAGGTCTCGCGACCATTTCTGCCTTTTAGCGACGGCAGACCTACGAGGTAAGGTGTTCTTTTCGTGGGCTTCGAGGCAGCACCGTTCGTGGGTGGGCGGCCGGCGATGATTACACTCCATATAAATCACGCGTTAGACTGCTGATCCGGGTGATGCGAATCCTAGTCTGAGCCGACTGCGGCGGCAGCGGGACGTGGGCGGGCCCAGCCAACTTCCACCTTCTAATCCTTCGCTTCTCTTTCAGCTCTGCCCAGTGGAGGACAGCAGACGGCGTGGAACTCTCCAGCCTTTTTCCTCCCCAAGCCTCTGAATAAAGTGCTTTGACTACGACCGCTGGTGTCCGTGTGTCACTGCTCCCCTCCCCCCACGCGCTGCCTTTGAGCCCCCGGCGCTTTACGTGGCGCCGGGGGTTAAGCTGCGGCGCCATATCATTGCTAGCGCATAACTGGGGCCGCCTGCCCATCGCGGGCGGTCCTTTTAAATGCTAGCTACAGATCGAATCCAGCCTACCACAGGCCTTTTTGAAGTTCGCGGGCGGTATACACAGCGGTGGCCTAGTCTTTGGCCAAAGTATGGGCTCAGTGATAATTGAGATAGTCCGGCCTAGGGTAAAGTGGAATGGCAAGAAAGGGAAAATTAGGTTAGACCTGGAGGTATACAGTCATTTGTTGTATATAGGTCTTGAGGTGACTGAAATCTGGCGGAGGATGGGGGGGGCAAAGTAATTATTTGAGGCCACTAGAGATCAGTGTTTGACTAACAATATACCAGAGACTGCGGGTACTACTGGGCCGATATGCACTAGTCAGAGAACTCTGGCGTTTGAATAACTGAAGTCACTGAACTTGGGGTGGTACCAAGAACTTATGGTCCCGACATTAATAAGGATATAACATTCTATCAAAGCTGATTAGTTTGGTATTTTGACAAGCAAAGTCCTGAACCTTTAGGTAAATTGTCATTGTGGCTTATTAGTGAGCAATTAGTCAGGGGGTTGTGTTGGCATCGATGACTAGATGAAAAGCATGTCAGCCGAAGAACCTTCACAACTAAAAAGCGGCCAAGAACGGAATAACAGTAAGCCCCAGTTAGGGGTCAGCCAGCAAGGTGCTAATGGGAACTGGGTGAGTAAGGCGGATAGTACCTTGCTAGATGAGACCAGTCGCAGAAAGCCGGTCCCAAGGTCAGTTTTCCTAGAAAACAAGATTAGTCTATACCCCCTTAATCCACAAGTATAAGCTTATAATTGAGTTGCACTCCCACTTCAACAGCTGGGGGTAGGAAGTGTGAATAAGACTAGCCTGAGGGTCCACATGCTCCGCATTCCCTTTATGGGCTTCTCCATAAATAACCAATATTTATCTGGTGTTTGACAGATATTTATTTTGTGGAACTGAGATTGTAAGTCCCCATATAGTAAGTGCGACAGGGTACAGTCTTGTAGTGCTTCCATCTAGTCTCACCTTCAGTAACTACTGCACAGGAAAAACTGAACAAGACATTTGGACTCTACAGGTGAATTGGCCTACACAATGAATAATTAGGGCAGTACAGACTGGAATGGTCAAATTTGTCATGTTTTAATGGGATGATTAAAATAATCAAAGGTTCAAATATATTTTTTAATATATTAATTTCTTTTTAAAGTCATCTTCAGGCAAGGTGCTGTTTTAAAAAAAACACTATTTAGCTTTGTCCACAGACATTAAATTATCAAAAGTTACCCAAGGTAATTTTGACATTGGATGCAGCTTTAAACAAACAAAATTGTATTAGGTTTTCTCAAAGCAAATTAGAGCCCCCAAATTTGTAAACTAAACATTCTGACACAAATGCACAAACTTAAGTTGGCAACATTAAAAAAAAGTCACAGTGCACATGGAGATGTAGTGCTTGACGCTGACTAGAAAGGAAAGAACAGTCCTCCTCTGGCCTTCAGAGAAGGGGACTGCCCGCAAACCTCCCAAACCAGTTAGATGAATAAGGCCCTCCCGTCCTACATGAGGCTTCTAGGAGCACACAGAAAAACCAGAAAAGGACAGCTTGGCTCTGGCTTTCTGGCCCATCCTATCAGTACCAGGGAGGAACAATCAGTCACTGTGCAGTGTTTGACATTGTCACATATGCTCATGTCTCTAGAAAATAATCAGGATTGGTTAGAAGCAAGGTGATTGTACCTCATTTGGGATGGTTTGATGTCATGGCTTTGCCTGATGTTCACATGGAACCCACTGTCCCCACCCCAGCTGAAAGTGTTTGTTTGTGGGTGTGTGTGTCCTATGGCTACTTGCTTCCAAAATGTACAATTTAATATTGAAAAAAAGTTGCTATGCCAAACTTTACCACCGATGAAATGGCTCACAAAACCACACTCTACACAGGTTACCACAATGACATTCTCCAAGTGTGGAGGGCTGCAATCATGCGTACAAAGTGTAGAGTGGAAAAATGTTCCATTGTGCACCAGCTGCCTGAGGAAAAGCTCTGGAGGAGACAAGAGGCAAGGGGAGCCTTCCAGTTGTCAGCTTTGCTCCAAATGCGCTCATTTGCTGCCACAAAACCTGCTAGGTTTTTTTTTTTTTTTTTTAAAAAAAAAAAGCAAGCCACGGTGTTAGTCAACTATAACTTCTGGCTCCACCACGACGGTTCTTCCAGTCTCCTTTGCCAGTTACAGCTTTACAACAGACAAACCAGACACTGGTCAATGGATGCAGGGAGCGGCACCTCACAGTGGAATGGGCACCGCGGGCAGAGGGCAGAAGCAGTCCTTAAGAGACAGTGGCTGTGGACCAGCAAAGGCCAGCCCCACAGCACAGGTGGCAGCCACAAATCTCACCCCTCGAGCTAGGTCTCATAATACTGGGAATGTCCCATTTTCATTCATCACAGCTGGTCGGAGGCCTCCACAGGGGGGTCTTTCATGATGCAGGAAGTGGAGCGAGGGTCCATGGCCGAGTGCATTATAGGGATATAAACATCATCCATGTTTGGCATGACAAAAACTTTCTGTAGGGAGATGTTAAAGAACAGTCACATGTCAGGAGATCGCCTTCCTTTCACATAGGAAATGCTTTCCTATACATTCCAAACAAGTTCTACCATGATACCTACTATGTATGTATGTATCTTCAATTTCATCCAGCCTTATTTTTTGAGACAAAGTCTTTCACTGAACTTAAAGCTCATCAATGTGACCAGACTGGCTGACTGGAGAGTCTACAGCCCTGGGGTTTATATGGATGCTGGAGATTTTAACTCAGACCCTCAGGCTTAAGCAGCAAGTTTACTAAATGGTCGGCTCCTCCATACTTGAACTCAGAAGAGTCAAAGAGCCACACTAGAGCACAAATACAGGAAGAACTTGGTGTGTCCACTTTGATGCACAAGCCCTCAGTTTCATATGTATACATTAACTACGCAAGAAACATTCAACAATGTTAATGCAGTATTTCAAAATCATTATGTCGAGGACATATTCCAAGTGAATTCATTCTTTTAAACCTCTGCACAAATACAAGCTGAGTTTTCCACATCAAAACCATGTAGAGCTACATATGAAAAGAAATCCTAATATGATTGTTCTTTGCACATTGTTTATAACTGTGTGTGTGGATTCTGATGATGTATTTGATCTTCAGCAATACTCTTAGAGAAACAAGAAAGCACATGGTACCACAGCAGGGTCCAGGGATGTAAGAAAAATGAAAAACCTGAAGGCATGAGGTTTAACCCCTAACTAGTTTCAAAGCATTTTTCTATCTGGTAAAAATAGAAGGCTTTTTAATCAGAAACTGGTTATTAGTAGCTTTTTGTTTTGTTTTGTTTTTCGAGACAGGGTTTCTCTGTAGCTTTAGAGCCTTCCTGGAACTAGCTCTTGTAGATCAGGCTGGCCTTGAACTCACAGAGATCCATCTGCCTCTGCCTGCTGAGTGCTGGGATTAAAGCCACCACCGCCTGGCTTATTTGTAGCTTTTAAACAGCAATAATTTGGTTTTCTGTTTGTTTGTTTTTTGAGACAAGCTTTCTTTGTGTAACAGTTCTGACTGTCCTGGAACTTGCTCGGAGGAACAGGCTGGCCTTTAACTCACAGAGATCTGCCTGCCTCTGCCCTCTGCGTGCTGGGATTAAAGGTGTGCGCCACCACCGCCCGGCCAGCAGTAATAGTTTTTAAAAAGACAAGAATTTAAGGGCAAGGGGCCTGGAGAGATGGCTCAGTGGTTAAGAGCATTGCTTGCTCTTCCCAAGGTCCTGAGTTCAATTCCCGGCAACCACATGGTGGCTCACAACCATCTGTAATGAGGTCTGATGCCCTCTTCTGGCCTGCAGACATACACACAGACAGAATATTGTATACATAATAAATAAATTTAAAAAAAAAAAGAATTTAAGGGTGAGTAGGATGGTTAAGGAGGTACAGGGGCTTGCTGTCCAAGTCTGATGACCTGAATTTAACCACTGACACCATGTGGTGGAAAGAGAGTTGACTGTAGGCTGTGCTCTGACCTCCACACAGAAAACTTTGAGTGGGACTTGGGGAGACACCTCGCTCACTCAGTGAAGTACTTTCCCTGCAGCATGAGGACCTGAGTCTGGTCACCAGAACCTAAGCAGAAGCTGGGCAACCCCAGCGCTAGGAAACAGAGAGAGATCCCTGGGTCCCCTTAGCCAGCTAGTCCACCTGTCCAGTTCCAGGCCAGTGCAAGACCCTGTTTCAAAATACAAGGTGGGCAGTGCTTGAGGAATGACAGCTAAAGCTTACCTCTGGCCTCCACAGGCACAAACATCCACCTGCACACATGCAGTCACACACACACACACACACCCCAAACTTAAAATATACCAATGGAAAATTATAAAAGTATTCTTCAAAGGGGGAAATCATGACTCAGTAAATAAACCATTTGCTAACCCATAAACTTTTGGGGTACTTTGTTTTTCTTAAATATTTGAGATGGTCTCTTGAGGCTGTCCTGGAACTTACTCTGTAGACCAATCTAGCCCCGAGCTCACAGACATCCACCTGCCTTTGCCTCCGAGTGTTGGACTAAAATAAAAGCATGTCCCAACATGCCTGGCTTCTGTAAAACTTTATGACAGTCATGCTTCAAATATTTGATCAAGTGGCTGGGGTAGGGTGGGATGAGGTGGGGTGGTTCAGTGGTAGACTGCTCGCTTAGCATGTGCAAGGCCCTAGGTTTAATCCCCAGCACCACAACAAAGTGAAACAAAACAAAAATCTAATCAAAATCAGATAGAAATAGCTCATTCTCAGGGCCTCAGCTATGCTGTTCCTTCCTTTGGAATGAAGGAAGCAGGTTTGGAGGGTGAGCTCTGGCTTAGGAGTTACTTAGGGGAGACATTGATTTTGGACTCCCAAGACAATTGTCTCTGGCATACAAGTTTTCTTGAAAGCTACCTGAACAAAGTAAGGCAAATACAACAGAGAGGCAGGGAGCATCTTTCCTGGCCCCCAAGATGGATGTCTGCTAACCAGCCTGCTCCTGACTTCACATGGGGCAAAGCCAAAGTCTGGAGAGTCTGCGCAGGCTCACTGGTACAGGACCCTACCATCTTGCCTGTGACTACATCTGCTGGGTTTCTTCTGAGTCTATTTTGTGGAAAAACTTCAGGGCCTTTGAAACCATAGCTGAAACTACAAGCCCAAGTTTGAACATAGGTGTTTTCAACATAAGGATGATGGTCATGGTTTCCATCCAATTCTCGAAGAAGACCTGGACCCAGATGAAGTCCAGATCCTCCATTCCACCCATTTTTTTTTTTTTCCTTCAAGGCAGGGTTTCTCTGTGTAGCCTACCTGTTCTGGAACTAGCTCTTTAGACCAGGCTGGCCTCGAACTGCCTCTACCTCTCAAGTGCTGGGATTAAAGGCATGCACCACCACTGCCTGGTCACCCAGTGTTTTTTTTTTTTTTTAAATTCATTTATTTATTATGTATACAGTATTCTATCTGTGTGTATGCCTGAGGGCACCAGACCTTATTACAGATGGTTGTGAGCCACCATGTGGTTGCTGGGAATTGAATTCAGGACCTTTGGAAGAGCAGGCAATGCTCTTAACCGTTAAGCCATCTCTCCAGCCCCCTCACCCAGTGTTCTTATACTTGGTGGGAAACGTGAGAAAAGGGCAGTTTACCTGGAACTCTTGCTCCAGTTTCTTCTCTATCCACTCCGTCACATGAACTAAAGTCACTTCTCTCTCTCCAAGTTTTGGCCGAGCTTTCAGCTCCACATATGGTGGCTTCCGGAAACCATACCTTTTTGAAGAAGACAGTAACCACATTTGAGAAGCAGAGAATGGAAGTGGCAAGCTCTGGCACCACAGACTCCTCACTGGCATAGGGTTCATCACTGAACGCTCTCCAGTTCTGAACCGCCCCATACCTAATTAAGCACAGCAAGTATGAGCTCTGAATGTTGTTTGCCAAACAGTGTCAGGGCTCTGATGGATTCTGACCAGTGCTGACAATGGAGGAAAGCCTTGAGATACCATGGAAGTCCAGGAACTGGACATTGTCTTTCAGGACTTTTTTTTTGTTTTATTTTTTAATTTTTTTAATTTTAATTTTTAATTTAATTTTATTTGCCTTTTGGATTTTGATTTCCCTAAAATGGCGATAGCTCTTTTCTTTTCTTTTCTTTTTTTAAGACAGGATTTCTCTGTGTAACAGTTCTAGCTGTCCTGGAACACACAAAGAACCACCTGCCTCTGGCCCCCAAGTGTTGGGATTAAAGGTGTGCGCCACCACAGCCTGGCTCTTTCTTTGTATTTTTAATAGATGTGTTCATTAAAAAAACCAATATATACACCAAACCTTTGAAAGAACAGTCTCCTGACTGCCATCCCGTATGGCACTCTCCTAAGTATACTCAGACATAAAATGTTTTAAAGACTGCTTTTTCAAGCTGGGCGGTGGTGGTGCCAGGCAGAGGCAGGTGGATCTCTGTGATGTCGAGACCAGCTTAGTCTACAAGACTAAGTCCTGGACCGGTTCCGAAGCTACAGAGAAACCCTATCTCGAAAAGAAAAGAGAGAGAGAGAGAGAGAGAGAGAGAGAGAGAGAGAGAGAGAGAGAGAGAGAGGGAGAGAAGACTGTTTTTTTTTTTTATTAGAGTCTTGTTATGAAGGTCAGGCTGGCTTAAAACTCTGAAAATCCTCTTGTCCTTGCCTCTTGAGTGCCATAATTACAGGTGTGCTACCTCACGCTGTCACGCTGTCTCACCAGAGCAGACCGACACTAAGAGATGTTGGTAAAGTGTCCAGACGAGCAGAGTGCGGCAGCACACACTGCAATCCCAATACTTACGAGGCGGAGGCAGAAGGATCACAGACCCTGACTACAAACGGGACAGAAGTCTAGTTCCTGACACAACGCTATTCTGTGTGTCTGTCCTAAGCAATAAAAGCAGTTTCTCTGTCCAGCTTCCCTCACACCGGAGTACGTGCCTCCACTTTAGGAAGCTCAATGGATGTGGACATGTGCCAGAGCTATCCCTTCAGTTGTGAAAGAGGACAATGATGAAAGTGAGCATCAGTCATCATTACAACCATCCACTTAGGGGCTAGGTGCACCTCACAGAAGCAATGATTTAAGGCAGCCCACTCAAAGGCACACTGGCAACTGGAAAAATGTCTGTACAACCAATTACCCCTTGGGGGCTCTGAAATGACACCAGCTGTGGTCTTAAGGTTGAACTGTGGTTCAGGGCCTGTGCATATCAGTGGACAGCACCTAGTAGCTGTAGAGGAAGATATAGAATCAGAGGAGGAGGAGGATTTAAAGTTCTTAAGGATGTCAACAAAGTCATCTGCCCCCGGGAGTGGGAACAAGGCTCCAGAGAAGAAAGTAAAACTCGATGAAGATGACGACAATGACAGAGATGAGGAGGAGAAAGAGGTAACTGAAGAAAAAGCTCCAGGGGAGAACCTCTATGAGATACTCCAGTCAAAACTGCACAAAAATCAAACCAGAATGGAAAAAAGACAAAACCGTCAATCAACACCAAGATCAAAAGGCTATGAATCCTTCAAAAAATGGGAAAAAATGCCCTAAAACACCAAAGAGACCTAGTTCTGTAGAAGACACTAAGGCAAAAATACAAGTAAGTACAGAAAAGGGTGATTCTCTTCCTAAAGTGGAAGGTACATCCATCGATCCTGTGAAGAATGGCTTCCAGATGACTGGCCAGGAGCCTGTTTGAGACCTCTGGCAGTGAAGAGTCACTTTAAGAAAATGGTGTGGGGGGGGGGGCTGGAGAGATGGCTCAGTGGTTAAGAGCACTGACTGCTCTTATAGAGGATCTGAGTTCAATTCCCAGCAACCACATAGTGCTCCCTGCTGGCATGCAGGCATACATGGAAGGAATGCTGTATACATAATAAATAAATCTTTTAAAAAAAGACAGAAAGAAAGAAAATGGTGTAAAAGGCTGGAGAGATAGTTTAGCAATTAAGAGCTCTTCCAGAGGACCTGGGTTCATTTCCCAGCACCCACAATCAGCTCATAATTGTCTATGACTTCAGTTCCAGAGGTTCTGAAACCCTCAGACATACATATAGGTAAAACACTAATGCACTCAGGAGGCAGAGACAGGTGGATCTCTGTGAGTTCAAGGCCAGCCTGGTCTACAGAGTGAGCTCCAGGACAGGTAGGGATATATGGTGAAACCTTGTCTCGAAAGACCAAAAAAAAAAAAAAAAAAAAAAAAGATTTAGACAGCTTGAAATAGTCCATCTTACTTCATTTCTGTAGCAGTTGATATCTTTTATAATGTCCTTTTATGATGCAGAGAGATTTCCCTACTGTGTATGACATATGCTGCCCAGGCCCCATTGCCAAGAATGTGTTATTTAAAATTCCTGTTCACTTTTCAAGGATGGAGATCCTGTCTTTTTTTTCAGTAGTTATGTATGGAGTCAGTCTGGAACTCATTCTGTAGACCAGGCTAGCCTCAACATCACAGAGATCCACCTGCCTTTGCCTGGCAGAGGCTGGGATTAAAGACGTGTGCCACCACTGCCTGGTTCTTTTTTTTCTTTTCTTTATGACTTTTCGAGACAGGGTTTCTCTGTAGCTTTGGTTCCTGTCCTGGAACTAGCTCTTGTAGACCAGGCTGGTCTCAAACTCACAGAGATCTGCCTGCCTCTGCCTCCCGAGTGCTGGGGTTAAAGGCGTGTGCCACCACTGCCCGGCATCTTTTTTTCTTATTTAGAAAAGCTAACACTGTGTGTGTGTGTGTGTGTGTGTGTGTGTGTGTGTGTGTGTGTGTTCGCACAACTCTATGTGAGTGCTGTGACACCTGTGGAGACAGTCAGTTCTCTCCTTCCACCTCTGGGTCCCAGTTCAACTTGTCATCTTGTCGTCCCTCCTCTTACTGTCACTCACTTAAAACAAGCAACAGTAACAACAAGAAACAGGCTAGGAACTGGAAAGCACCGACTGTTCTTCCAGAGGACTTGGGTTTAATTCCCAAAACCCACATGGTGGCTCACAACTGTAACTTCAATTCCAGGGGATCCAACACCCTCTTCTGGCCTCCTTGAGCAATATACACACATTCAGGTACTTGCATATACACATAAAACAAAACAAACAAGTCTTTGAAAAGAAAGTAATGCTAGGTGGTGGTGGCGCACGCTGTGAGTTTGAGGCCAGCCTGGTGTACCGTGTTAGTACCAGGATAGCCAGGGCTACACAGAGAAACCCTGTCTCGTACACCAAACTAAACAAATAGCAACACAAAACCACCTACAAAGTTATTTTTGAGTTTTGCTGGGAAACACTACATTGCCATTGAATAATCAGCCGACTGGGAAAAACGCCTTCCAAACATTTCTGCAACGCCTGCTGCACACCAAGGAGATATGTAGTGCGCTGGTCCATGCTATGATGGACTGCAGGGCTGTGTTTTCATCATGAGTGCTATTTACAATGTGGTAAGAGCTCTGAGCTCTTATTCCTCACCACATGCACTACGACTATTTTACAGGACTCAGCACACTAATTTTAAAGGGAGAGACACTGGGCTATGAATAATTAATCCATCAGTTCTAAACTGTGGCTTAGCACTGTATGTAATCCTTACCCCAAAGCCAACTGCTGAAACCCTGGGGAGCGCCAGTCATGTCTGTATCTTCAACATCCCAGGTGACAGGAGCACTCAGCCTCCTCCTCAGACAGCCTCCTGTCACGGACGCCTAGTGCACACACCAGCCTCCCAACCCTACACTAAGGCCTCACTCGCTCAGGGACCATCTCCTAACTGCCCAGATGATCTGTCAAGAATAGGCTGCGAGAGGACTGAGCCAGTGGTGTGGGTCCTGCCCAAGCCAGGCAGAGATGGGGCTGGCTGGCTACAAAGTGCAGCAGTTAGGATGAGTCCGCTTTAGAGAAAGGAGGACCAAGGATAGAAACGGCCCCTTTTATGCACCTCACATTCACCTCGACTTTCCTGACATATGAAGATCATCCTTACCCAAGGACTAACGACTGACACTTGAGTCTAATGAAAGCAGTGTGGAAGTGCTCTTGTCCCAAGGTTTAGTAGGCTGGGACTTTTAGAGTCCTACGTACCATATCCGGTCCGTCGGGGGTGGTGGAATGTTGACCGCCAAGGTCCCTCGACATTCTTGCACTTCCACGGTTAGCAGCAGGGGTGTATTAGAGACCTCCTCAATCTTCTTTTTAATGAATTCTGTCTCCGTTGCTTTTTGGAAATATTTTGACTTCGTAATTTTATCAACAAACCTCATAATCTTACTTGTTCGATGACCTCCAACATACCTTCAAACAAAGAATACAAAGGTATGTTAGCATGTGTGTGTGTGTGTTTGTGTGTGTGTGCACGCATGTGCACATGCGTGCCAAGGCACATGTGGACAAATCAGAGAACAGCCCGTGGAGTAGGGTGCCAAGGGATCAAATTCAGGCTGTCAGGTTTGGTGGCAAATGTCTGTATATGAGCATCATTGACTAACACAGCCTCGTGACTGCATTCACTCTCCAATGGCTTTTCCACCACAACACTAGGCACACTTTCGACAGGTCACTCTGAAATCTGCCCTGTGTGTACAGGATGTTTAGTAGCCTCTTTGGCCTCTGAGGATCACGTGGCAAGAACATTCTCTGACAACATAATCATACATTAGCCCCCGTGGGGGTTAAGTTACCCTTGGTTGACAACTACTACTTTAGAAAAGGTATAAAGGTCGGACAGAACATCCTGGCTGCACTGCACAGTGGACATTCGACAGAGTCATCCCTCAGAGAAGGAGGCTTCTGAAGACTCTGAGACTCAGCAGGCGTCCTTGTCCTACTGGGAACCTCCCAATCTCTACACAGCACACAGAGAGCCATGCCACGCCGACAGACAATACCGCAGCGACTAACAGACTATCTTTATTAACTTTAGGTTAATTGAGGGCCAAGTGCTTATCAAAGGGCTTGGAACTAGAACATAAGGAAAAAGCTGCATCGAATAGCTATGCCAGCAAGCTGAGAAAAGCAGTATTTGCCTAAGGTCCTGCCTGATTGGCTTCTTCCTATCCTGTGCAGTTTCAGACATCAGGGACAGTGTGTGTATGGAAATACGTGTGTCTTTTGGGAGTGGAGGGGTGTTGAATCCAGGGCCTTGCACATGCTAGACAAGCACTCAACAACCAAGTTCCACCTCTAGCCCTAAACAATAGTTCTAGGAGGAACCAACTGTGCTGTGCAAGCACAGTGTGCTCTTCTCACCTTCTGAACAGTTTCAAAGCGAGCAGGCTGCTATTTGCTTACAAGTTTCTGACTCACCTGGTGCTGTGTCCACTGTTTCTTTATCTCCTTTTAAATAATTTAAAAGTCCTTACAGAAAGGCACTTGACACGCTCTGATCATTACACTGCCCAAGGGACAGGCACAGAGCACCCAGATGAAGTTCACGACCCAGAAGAGCAGCTACGCCACCCAGTGTCAAAATTCACCCAGGAAATAACCCAACCATCTCAGCTATGCAGAACTGCAGCAGCAAGTAGATCTGGCTGTGCTGTGCCCAGGTCCCTTCTCTCTGCGGCCACCAGGGGGAGGTGGTGTGCAGCCTGTGCCCTCTGAAGATGAAGACTCGGTGCAATTCTAGCAACAAGCCTGTCCTTCAAAGTCTAATTTTTACTCACACTGCAAGACAAAGCCCAAGCCTCTCCTCTTAAAATGCTAATGCTGAAACCTTTCACTCCGTGTGCAGGAAGAAGCTTGGAGGGGAAAGAAAAGACCGGCAGCCTCCTGGTGGCTCCTTTAACCTCCTGAACCTCCGGAAGCCCCATCCACTCACCCTTCAGCCCCAGGGAGCAGCTGTTTGTCCCCAGTACTGGGCTCTGGAGCATCATCTTCCTCAGAGGAGCCGGCACTGGAGGATTCTTCATCACTGTCAGCCAGACAGTATACCCTGGGCCTACAACTGAACAGGGAGAAAGTCACCAGCAGTGCACACACACTCACACATACAGTGCACACACACACTCACACATACACACACTCACACATACACACACTCACACATACAGTGCACACACACACTCACACATACAGTGCACACACACACTCACACATACACACACTCACACATACACACACAGCTCAAGGAAAAACTCCTGCCATATGCTGCCAATGTCACTAAGAAAGAATCCAAGAGTTCTTTGATTGGCGGCTTACTCAGGAAACTCCAGCACCAAGTCCCCCGACAGGACTGCAGAGGACTTGAGCCCACAGTTACTTTTGAGCATGCACCAAATAGACAGGTGGAGAGTGTGATGAAGTCACATAAAATGTGGGAGCCAAGGAGGAGGTGTGTGAATGAAAAAATAGACAGTTAGCAGGGGTTACGATGGCAGTTTAATGCTGGTGACATGACTCCCTTGGCGCAAATGAGGTGTACAGGCAAGTCCCTTATCTCTGGATTAATTACCCCTCAAATTAGTTTTGGCTGGACTCCTCCCTAGTGAGAGTAGATATATTATCCCACACCTGCTCCATATCCTGGGGGCGGGGTCATAGAGAAAGTCCAAAGTCACAAAGTACCAAGTCTCAGGGGACTCAAGAAAGCAACTGAGAACTCAGGGACTTTTCTAGAACAACACAAATTTAAAGGACAGGCTTTGCAGCCCCCTTATAGAGTGCTGCCCTTCACTACACTCTTTAGGGTTCCAGAGGGGTGGGGCTTGTGGAATCAGCAGCAGAGGTGTGGGATCAAGGTTTCCTTCTGAAGCGCAGTGGAGACTTCCTGACCTACCAAAAGTCGCTGCTTCCTCATGCGACTACTAGTGGGCCTCATCTCTAGAGCTCGGGGCCTTAGCTAAGCATGAAATGAACATAGGACAGTCTCTTTTTTTTCCTTTTTCTTTTTAATTTTTTGAGACAGGGTTTCTCTGTAGCTTTGGAGCCTGTCCTGGAACTAGATTTTGTAGACCAGGCTGGCCTTGAACTCACAGACAGTCTCTAAACACTATTAAGCCACCAAATGGTCACTAAACACAGCCTTCTATTGTCAGGCAGAGAAAGGCAACGCTGTTCATGTAGATCCAGTTTCCCTGTTGCTGCTGTCCTCTTTGACACCTCCTTGAGCCGCTGAAAGTCCACCAGGGTAACTGTCTCCTGATTAATGGGGGTCAAGGGTAGAGCACACAGCTGCATGCATGTGAGGGCCAGGCTAAACCTCTCACCCTGAAACAGGAGCTGGCTGTAAGAGGATCTCACCAGCGTCCTCCCAGGCAGGACACAAGGATCCTGCTCATCCTGGCTCTGAAATGGAGCCAGAGTTGTGCAAACACACTGAACTTCCATATTGAAGGGGATGACCCTCTGAGAAGCCACTCCTCAGCTGAAGCACCCGCTCTCCATTTCCCGTAACAGAAGTGACACTATGTCCTCATTGCTCACAGAACTGTTTCCTCAAAGAGCATGCTCTTGGGTTTCAAATCTACATAGCAAATGCGATTCTCAAACAACCCTGAACTGAGTTTTTGGGTAAGGAGAGTCAGGAACATAAACTGCCAGAAATTACATGACTCCTATTTCTCCATCAAACAGCTGTGCTCTAAGTTCTTGAGCCCTGTGCTGTCAGGTATGGAAGCTGGCCCAACGGCACAGGGCAGGTCCTCATCCACACAGCACAAAGGGCTGCCTGCAGCATCTGGGATCGTAATGACAACTGCTGAGCCATGGCCCCTTATGTCCCCACCAATGTGTACCACCTGGCACCTCCATTCCTTGGCAAAGGCTGAGTGCTACACTGAGCTCTTGGGTTCCAGAACAAATCCTCTGTGGCTTCATGTGAATAGTTCAGATAATGTTGTATGGGCTCCAGTGTATCAGAGGCTGTGGATTCTGATTTTGACCAAGTGGTAGGTACCCCTATTATCCAAAATGGAAGCTGTATCATGTAGAACCCAGGGCCAATTAAGCCTACGACTGGCTCATATGCAGCTTTTACATCTAAATGTGTATTTTATGCTTTCAAACCTTATGATGTAAGCAAGCATTTCAGAGAAAGACACTAAACATCTCATAAAAGACATGTAAGATGTGGGAAACTACTGGCTTTAAACACACCTCAGAATTCCGCAAGTGTTCCACCCTCTCAGAGAGTCACTGAACAAGCTGACTATTCTGTTATGATGTCTTTTGCTTGGAGTCAGGCACGAGAGAAAGTAAACTATTTTATCATGGATTCTATCTCGGACCAAATTTTTTCTTTCTTTTGAAATGGGGTCTCACTTTATGGAATGCATTATGTAGCCCAGGTTGGCTTCAAACTCAGGCTAAGTCTTCTGCCTCAGTCTCTCAAGTGTTGGGATTGCTAGCATTTACCACCGCAACTGGCTCAAATGTTTTATTTCTTGTCTAAGAAGCTCTATCACTTCTGGCAACTTCCGGTAGTCTCTGTAGTCTGTGGACTATGCATAGGCAGTGCTTGCAGAGGCCAGAAGACATGGGCTGACTTCTGTCTTTCCTCTCCTCAGCCACACCTGACTGCACATGTTCACAGCTGAGGAACCAAGGAAGCAGACTGAGAACTGCTTCTCGAGCTAGGCTCTGGAATCATGCCTGGGCTTCAAGGAGCTTTCCATGCTTTCTAGAAACTCTGAGCCAAACAATGCCTGTGGAAACATTTTCTGAAATAAAGATGGGGGTCTAGAGTCCTCAGCTTCCCCAAGGGCCCATTTCTTAGGCCTTTTTCCTCTAGAAGCATGGCTTTGAGGTTGTATTTTTCTTTGCATTGAAAAGTAAATATGCTGGGCGGTGGTGGCGCAAGCCTTTAATCCCAGCACTCGGGAGGCAGAGGTAGGCGGATCTCTGTGAGTTCGAAGCCAGCCTGGTCTACAAAGGGAGTTCCAGGACAGGCTCCAAAGCTACAGAGAAACCCTGTCTCGAAAAACCAAAAAAAGAAAAAAGAAAAAAAAAAAAAGAAAAGTAAATATAGTTATAGTTTTTGATTTGAAAAGCTAATTACATATTAATATATAATTTAATATCTTCACAAGAAGAAGATAGACATTCCATACAGGATTATTCTATGAAAAGATGGTTTTAGAAATACATTCCACCATGGAAGTCACGCTCCCAAAGAAAGGGAGTCTTTTCCGTCAGTCTAAAGAAGCACGGCATCCTAAGACCAGCCAAATGGACGGCAGTCACTGTGGAGTGTCTGAATGACAAGACTGACCAAAAGCGACCTGCTGCCACCTGTTGCATACGACTCACCACCCAACAGAGCCCCGGTGCCCTTCCTGGAGCACAGCTGTACAGAAGGGCTCCTTACTCAAATGTTTATGACCAGACTGCTCTGTCCCAGTCCCATTTAGTTACTAGATACAATTAAAAACAAGTAGTGCCGAGGATCAAACCCATGGCCTGGCATGTGCTAGGCAACTGCTCTCCCGCTGAGCTACAATCCTAGCCCAGGAGACCTCGTTTTCAGACTGCTTCTGCCTATGGGGTCTTTGCAACTCTACTGTCTCAAGGTCAGATTGGCACTGCCCAGCTAGAGGTCAGAGTGGGGTGAGACAGCAGGACAAGAAGCTGGGTCTCACTAAGGCTAGACGAGAAAGACTCTCTCATCACAGCCTTGCCCCTCTCCTCTGCTCTCAGCCTTCTCGAGCCCTTGGACTGTGCCTTCATGTCTGGGAACATGATGAAAAGACATTTTCTTGTGGTTTCAAATGGGACCACAGCAGGTTCAGCACTCACAGGGTATGGAATGCCACACAGGGAGTTGATGAATGCCACTCACCAGAAAATACAAATCCACAGATTGCCGAATCCAAATACATTTTAACAAATAGCAGAAAAATAAAAGGAAAATAGCAGAATCAAGTTAGATTGCAATACAGCAAGTGCAGTCTTCTAACCATTAAAACAGGTACATTACAACGCATAACCTGGATAAGTCAAGATAATCTAAGCAGAAGAATGTTCTTGAAGACACAACTGAACTTCGATCTACCAGTACTACAGACCTAGAGGGTCAATCAGCTGTAACCAAGCAAAAAATCCAAGAGCCAGTGCCTTGCATACAGTCTGCAGAGTAGTTCACTGTGGCAGCCCCTGGCCATTGTAGTTTAGTCCCTGAAGAGAGATTAGGAACTTCAGATGGGAAAGGCCACACCTTTTAACGCAGCTAAAACAATATTATCACTTAGATGTGTTGCCAGAACAGTAACCTTTAAGGTGTTTGAAAATCTGGCATCAAAGGGGGTAAAAAAAAAATCAGGCTCCATTAATTACCTCACGATCCTGGAATATTTCTAAATCAGATTAACTCTGGGTAACAGACGTACTATCTACAAAGAGCAGAATTTACTAAGCAAATCAATATTGTATTATTTCGGGAAAATGCTTCTTACAACTCTCAGAGTATCCTCTTAGCTGCAAAATCAACCATATCGTTATAAATAATTCTGACCTGGTGATTAAAGTGGTAGATCCCCAGGGGACCTTAATCTGCTCCACATACTGCTGTCTGTGGCTGGAAGCTGAAGCAGGTGTCAGTGTAAGGATTGATTCACAGAACAGTTTATGCTTAGAGGCATCTGTCCTGCTTGTCTGCAGCAGGGTACTTTCTGGGTAATTGAGGCAGCGTTACCCCTGCCAGTGCTGACACCATCAGGCCGGGTGGAAAGCTACTCTTATCACAAGTGCTGACACCGAGCCTGCTGTCCACACCGGGGGCTCCCACACCCCGATCTGCTTCTCACAGGTTGCAGGGAGAAGTCGGTCCCCCGAGGTTGGTTAGTAAATTCATATATGGCCCCTTACCCTTCTTTGCCAATTTCTCCAACCTTCAGGGCTTCAACAAGAGGCTCTTTACCTAGTTTGGTCAAGTTCATTTTGGTCTCGAGAGTCATCAGAAAGGACCCGTTGTAAGACATTTCCAAATCAATCCAGAGTCCTAGAGAGAGA